AGGAACAAGTGCATCGCTTCTAGTAACAAGTGCCTTACTAGTAGTAACAAGAAGCTACTATATTTGTATATATTTGTTGATCCAACACATGAGGCGCAAACCAAGCAGCGCCAACTTCCCGATGGGAAGCTTTGAAAGCATAAGAATGACCTGCGGAATTCACAAAGACTCATCGAATCTATCCTGGCGCCATTCAGAATCGCATGTGAATTATTTCCCTGTTCAAAGAGAATGCTGAGAGCCGTGCCATGGCTGAGCTCGCTGTTTGGATTTCCGTGTGGCAACGAAACAAATCAATCAGAGTCAGTATTCAACTCTTTGGCTTCGGATCCAGACCATGATGAGTCCTAATAGCAAACTATATCACATTGTTACACGATTCTTCCCTTTTTTTGTTCGTAAATAGCGGCTTAGCGATGGCCTCCAACCTAATAACACACGTATATTACACCTTTCTTCCTGTTCTTCTTTTCTTTGTTTCCAAGAGCGATGGCGATGTGTAGCATCACCTTGTGTGATACAATGTGATACATCACAAAATCGGTCAGTGAGCCTTTCAATGCCTGATGAGCCTTTTGTAACCTTTTGTCGTAAGATGGCGTAAGTTCACACAAAAGACAAGTCGATACGTCACGATCGAACCTGCGCAGCATCTCGACTCTCTTTATTCATCCTTACCTTCCGCACAATCGGTATTCCCAGCTCTCCAAGGGCCCTTTTTTTGCTTTTCGGAGAAAATTCAAGCCAAGGGGCATCAAGGCTGAGTATAGTAACATGATAGGATTGTTCATGATTGGTCAACAGAGTTTAGGTTCTTTTTTGGTAATGATACTTTTTCTCTTGACCTTTACACAGCCTGGCCCGAAACATGACTGGTTGCCTTAGCTGGGAAGCACTCTACGCAGTAAGACAGTGAGGCAGTGCGCAAAACAAAAGAACACTTATTGTTTCATGTTCAACCCAGCAATCGCCAGCAACCTGGAGTCGCATGCTTTGCGCTTTGCGCAAGGCAAGAGGACTCGAAGAGGACTTGAGGTCTGAACAGATCAGCCCCGGCTCGAACACCTCGAACAGTAATTTCTAACCGAGCGTCATCTGCGTCACTTCATCTGCGATGCGTTCAGGAGACAGCGGAACAAGTTAACGGACTCATGTCGTGTCACAGGACAGTCAGCTCCGCCTTGACAGCATGCTTCTTGGCCAAGCGGCAGTCTACGGGTGTAACCTCGAGCAACACAAAGCACATTCGCGCGTCGCTTCTGGTTGCAAAACATGTGGAGCACGGCTTCCAACGAGAATTCTTCTTCATTCTATATGTACAGCAAAAATGTAGTTATTGCATACATCTCGGCACTCCCCACCAGTTGCGGACCGACTTACTTAAGAATATTGTATTCAATATTATGGACAATATTAAGGAAACAACTGAAACCTTGGCCCGGTCGCTGGTTCACACCCCGGGTTCGCCTCCAAAACCTCGTCCGTGTCCATGTGGCCCAGCCAGTCATCGATACTCATCTGGGCAACATGTGCAGCTACTAGAAGAAGTGCATCGCTTCTAGTAACAAGTGCCTTACTAGTAGTAACAAGAAGCTACTAGGAGCATTCTTGCTTCTAGTAACAAGTAGCTACTCACTTAGAAGCCTACACATGTGCTCGTGTCATACAAGGCCATCGTCTGGGGCTTTTTGGGAGCTCGCTAAGTTGAACCGCTGAAGAATATGATCGAAAGGCATTCCAAGGTCGATTTCTTTGGGACTAGGAGCAAGGACGCTACTAGTAGCTCCTGGCATCGCTACTAGTAACAAGAAGCTACTAGGAACAAAGGGCATCGCTACTAGGAGCAAGGACGCTACTAGTAGCGAAATCGGAACATTGGCTCAAGATGTCGGGTGCGATTTCGCGCAGTGTTCCTGTCCCGCGGCATCGTGCTGCAGTGCTTGCCTCGACTTTGGGCGGAAGGTTCACTGTGAAGCTACCTCAGTGGCGATCTCAAAGGGTTCTGCATGGGTTTTTGCCCAAGTTAGCCCTTTTGGGGACGGTGTTCTCTGCATTGAAAAGGAGGAAACGGGACATGAAGAGAAAAAAAACAAACAGATTTGAAGTCAAAAATGATCACATATTGTGTTAAGACAAACAAAAAAGATCTTTGGAAAAGAACACAATTTGGACAGGTTTACTTCTGAGTTGCCTGAGGCTGCCCGGACATTGGACACCGCTTTCTCCTTGGCAACACGTTCCTCCCTCAGGCCCACTGCAGTTTTGCATCATGTTTGCCTTCAAACCAAGGCACAATCCATGGATCAAAGTTCCAGGGATAACCAATAAACATATATATATACATATATTATATGTATTACAAATTGTATATATATATATATTGGGTGTCTGCTTAATTGCACATCAAGTGGAACGCTTGCAAGTTTCAGGATGCTGTCTATCACACCCTCTGGCGGATGTCCTTGGTGATGTTCACATCGAGGTCAATTTCCTCGTGATATTCACATACCAGTCTTGCGAAGTGCCAGCATGTGCCACTTGCTGTGCTTTCCCAGGCCTTGTTGTGCAGCCCAATCACTTGGCCAGCATAGACTTCTTCAGCATGCTGACCGGGTCACCGAGTCCCGAAAACTGGACGACACGAGGTTTCCACGAAACAGTCCGAACCTCTACAAAGAACTTGCCACGCTGCTGGAAGTTCAGAATGCTGTAGAAGGTCGCCTTGGATACTCTGGTGACGGATACCACAAACTTCTCACCAAAGAGTTCATTCTTGTCTTGAACTCATCTTTGTGAATTGAGCGCATCTGCAACATTTGCCTGCCTTCCCCGTGGCTGTGGTGCAAATGGAGCCTTTCTCCTGGCGAAGCAAGTCCCACAGTTCTTCCAACCAAAGGAATTGGGAGTCGCTAGCAGTCGATCAACTTGGGGTGCAAATGGTGGAAGCCGAATCCCATCTACTACTACAACCTTCTTCAATGGGACGACTCATTCCAAACTCCACAAGACAAACGATCAACGCTGCCTTCTGAACAAGCTGTCATTCCAAGAATATTGTACAGTGCCTCCCAGCAAACCATAGGGGCCCGCATTTAGGGGCATCAAATGCATTTCGGAGCAGGATCAGGCGAAACATGTTAAAACGTGTGTGTGCCATCTTCATGATGGACAGAACAGCTGTCCCATTGCTCATTGTGCAAGCAGCATCATTCGTTCGCTGAGCTGCTAGGGCCTTGCCTGTGTTCTATGTGTCCCTCGAAACTCTCAACAAATGATGTTAACCGCAGGTTAACAGTAGTAACAAGGTTCGCTACTAGTAACAAGTGCATCGCTTCTAGTAACAAGTGCCTTACTAGTAGTAACAAGTGCCTTACTAGTAGTAACAAGAAGCTATTAGTTAATTTAACTATAACCGCTATAACTTGGTGGCACCTCGGTGGCACAACGACATCCCGGTGCCGCTTGTCCCGACCACCGCCGGGTCCCGAATCTTCACAGAGCTCCCATCGAACCTCAGCGGATCAGAAGTGTCCGTCGAAGCCTTCGGGAAGAAAAAACTACAACAAGTGCCTTACTAGTAGTATCAAGAAGCTAGTAGTAACAAGTGCATCGCTACTAGTAACAAGTGCCTTACTACTAGTAACAAGAAGCTAGTAGTAACAACTGCATCGCTACTAGGAGCAAAGGGCCTTACTACTAGTAACAAGAAGCTAGTAGTAACAAGTGCATGGCTACTAGGAGCAAAGGGCCTTACTACTAGTAACAAGAAGCTAGTAGTAACAAGTGCATCGCTACTAGGAGCAAAGGGCCTTACTAGTAGTAAGAAGAAGCTAGTAGTAACAAGTGCATGGCTACTAGGAGCAGAGGGCCTTACCACTAGTAACAAGAAGCTAGTAGGAACAAGTGCATCGCTACTGTGAGCAAAGGGCCTTACTACTAGTAACAAGAAGCTAGTAGTAACAAGTGCATCGCTACTAGGAGGAAAGGGCCATACTAGTAGTAACAAGAAGCTAGTAGTAACAAGTGCATCGCTACTAGGAGCAAAGGGCCTTACTACTAGTAACAAGAAGCTAGTAGTAACAAGTGCATCGCTACTAGGAGCAAAGGGCCTTACTAGTAGTAACAAGAAGCTAGTAGTATCAAGTGCATCGCTACTAGGAGCAAAGGGCCTTACTAGTAGTAACAAGAAGCTAGTAGTAACAAGTGCATCGCTACTAGGAGCAAAGGGCCTTACTAGTAGTAACAAGAAGCTAGTAGTAACAAGTGCATCGCTACTAGGAGCAAAGGGCCTTACTAGTAGTTACAAGAAGCTAGTAGTAACAAGTGCATCGCTACTAGTAACAGGGGCCTTACTAGTAGTAACAAGAAGCTAGTAGTAACAAGTGCATCGCTACTAGGAGCAAAGGGCCTTACTAGTAGTAA